ACATAAGTGTATATGCTTTATTTTGAAGTAAAACTAATTTAATAAAAATAAACTTGGATTTAACAACTAAATTCTATGGAACATTTCTGTACACTAGTAAAATAACTTATTTTGAAAATGATGGACCCCTGAGGTCCATATGCACCCCAGTTGAGAACGCAATATTCACTTGCAAAAAAAAAAAAAAAATGAAAATTCTTACAATCCAAAATATTTGGGCTTTTATATAATCAACAAAGGGTTGATAAACCCTAAAAAACAAATCATTTAATCATGACTTAAAATTTGTAGGGCAGATTCTTGAAAGCAGTGTAATAATTGCCCAATGCTTGTAAAATCTTTTTTTTTTTTTCTTTTTTTACAGCCATAGGCAATGACAAACTCCAGTTGTATGGGGTGCAGTTCCATCCAGAGGTAGATCTTACTGAAAATGGTAAACAGATTCTGAAGAATTTTCTCTTTGAAATTGCTGGCTGTAAAGGAACCTACACAATGAAGTGTCGGGAAGCTGCTTGTATTGACTACATTTGCTCAACTGTAGGTAATAACAAAGTTTTGGTAAGTACTTTTGTTTTTATATTTTGTTGTTTTAATATCACTTTTGGTGCTTACCATTTACTGTAAAGTCACTTCTTGCATTTTTGGCCACATGCAAGGCCAAGGGAACCCTCAAGGTAGATGGGTAGTGAGTGGGGATTGTTGTATGTGAGGAAGAAGCAGTTAGTACATGTTTTGGTTGATGTCTCCTTTTCTTTTCCTTTCCTTTCCTTTTTCGGCATATCACCCTCAATTGGTTATTTAATTCCGACAAAATTTTTACAATAGATTCATATAAGAATATGTATTCTTTGTAAGAAATCAGTTTATAGATCAAGTTTCATTGACATATTTTTGTAATGAGGGTTTTTGTCGAGAGTCAAAATGTATTGCTGATATATAAATAAACCTAGCGAGCCAGGCAAACCTACCCAGGTTTCACCTAAGTGGATTGTCAAGGGCTTTGAACCTGTATCTGTGCGATTTTTTTTCGACAGACTTTCATGTTTCTAGGTCTTTCTTTTTTTAAAACCTTTTTTTCCCTCGGGATTGATTTGATTATTAGCAAATCAAAAATTCGAGGCTTTTTCAAAATGAGTATAGTTACCTATATATATATATATATACACACACACACACACACATTTGGTTGGATTGATGTGAGTTTGTGACCCTGGGTTTCATGCTTTTGTGATCGTCAGACAAACTGATTAATTTTGGATTTCTGTAGATTGTGTGTATTGATGTTATTATGGGAGTGGGGAGAATCGTCGTCGTGATGTCATCATGCTAACACAAACATAGATGCATGTCTGTACACCCGATGAGGTACGCAGACACACATACACACAGATATAAACATATGTGGACAGTTTGGGATTTGGCATATGTATGTATATGGGTGGTGTTGTGTCTATACATACACATTTGTATGTTGAAATTCAAAGATTGGAAGTTTAGCGAAAATTTCTTGTGAATGTATACATGTCAGCAATCAGAGCATTTTTTTTTTTTTGTCTGACGATCACAAAAGCATGAAACCCAGGGTCACAAACTCACATCAATCCAACTAAATATGTTAGCTCTATCTCTGATATTGAGCGCTTTCTAATAATAAATACACACATATAATATATAAATATTATATATATATATATATATATATATATATATATATATATATATATATATATATATATATATATATATCGGGTACGGCGTATGAGGGTCAAGCAGATCAGTTTCCAGGAAACTGACAGCCTGGCACCGGTACATGAGATTCGATTATAGTAGTGAAGGCTTCGTGTAGGATCATCCACACTTTTTGAAGGGCCGAATACAGAGACCTGGTGCTCTACGTGTCACAAGGTCCCCAAACAACCCCCCCTCGGGTTTTGAATTCAGAGTTGACCTTCTTCTAGACCAGTTGCCATCCGAGGCTATAGAACCCAGTCTGTTCTGCTATTTAACCCATAGCTGGAGGGAGAAGAGGATTCACGCCTTTGTAAAGGGTATTAGCACGTAAGTGAATGTAACGGATTCAACCTGGATTGAACTCGGCTCTCATGATTCCACAATCCAAGCCGATATCCATTACCCCACCGTGTTTCATATATATATATATATATATATATATATATATATATATATAGGTATATGTGTATAACGTCATCCACAGACAGACTGTTTCGCTGTTTGCAGCTCATCAGTGTGGCTAGACATCCGGTTGCCTCTAGCTAGGATCGAAAACCGACTGAATTGGTGCCAGTCGGAGCTTCTAACCACTAAGCTGTCGGTGCACGGTAGGGATGAAGGTGGATTTTAGCGTATTTATTTTTAGAAACACGCCCAGTGACTGACAGGGACTCAATTCACTTTTGCGAAGAGTCTCGCTATATAGCTATAATAGTCACTGTTTACCAACCCACACCTCCTCCCCAGAGTGCTCAACTGAAATTAATATTTCAGGAGCAGATATAACATATATATATATATATATATATGTGTGTGTATGATCGCTAAAGCGTGAAACCCAGTATTAGAAACTCACATCTATCCAACCAAATATGTTAGCTCTATCTCTGATATTGAGCGCTTTCTAATAAATATATATATATATATATATATATATATATATATATAGCTGATATTTTTACTATAAAAATCTATATTTATACTTTTATAGTGTTTGCCCCATGTTTGGGGTCAACTATTTGCCCATAGCTGGGACTCAAACAGGTTCTATCACCTCGAGTCAGGCTGGACCTGGGAAAAACAACAATTAATATGTGGTTTTACGTTCCTCAAAACTTCCTGATGAAGGATGTAATGATCAGAGGAAAGCTTCCTCTCGGGATTTTGTTTCACAGACTATGTTTTAGGGAAGAGTGAAACTTAACTCCTTACCAAAGTAAGATGAATGGGGATGGTTTGTCACTGTGATTATGGCGTGGAGGAGAGGAGGCTTGACGTGAAGGTCTGAGCTGGACATTTCTCGTAGTAATAGCGATAAGCTGGTGGAAAATAATTCATTACCCACAAGGCCGTGTAATCGCTTTTGATATCTATCAAGGCTGGGAAGTAGTACTTTGTTGTTGCTTTGATCACTCTTGTAAAGAGAATGAAAGCTGGAGTTGAGTATTTTCCCTGAGTGCTACAAAGAGCCCAATCATTCTTACAGCATCCTTAGGAGTGATACAAATGTACTGATGCTATTTATATACTGATTATTTGCAAATGCTGATTAACAGTCTAATTAATGTCATTAAAGTATTGTCACTTGTATGCCACTATGGCTGATGAAAAAGTGCAGACAGACCAAAGTTTCTTCTGTTGATTCATTTTATTCTCTTAAAAGATTTTGTAGTTAAAAGTTAATAGATTTGGAGTTATTTACCATGGACCGACCCCCACATCAATTTAGACTTGATTAAAAAATTACTTAGAAACAAGTGGCTTGATCAGTTTGGAAATTATTTCATTCTCTAAGGTAAAGCATTTTAATGGTATTGAGCTAAGAAATATTGTACTATAATGTGCCATTTTTGGTATGGTAACAAACAGAAGTGAGATCATTTACAATATAGAGACATATTATTATCACTGGATGAGATTTGTTAGTATTAAAACCATTTTTAAAATATGGAACAGATTTGTCTTTTTTTTTTTTTTTTTTTTAAATTTTACTGCCACCTACGCCTGATGGTGGAACCATGTTTGGTGGTCCGATCCTCTGGATCTTAGGATAATGTTTTAACCACAGTGCTAATTTTATGCTGGTTTTTGGTTGCTGGCTGCTTTGATCCACATCAACTCTGCCCATGTGTTCTTGATCTTAAAGTGGTGGAAGATTGAATGTCATAAACAAAGCGCTGGTTCAAGCTGTGGTGATCACTATGTTAAAGGAAGAAATATCTTCAAAACAGAAAAACAAAACGAAAGAGTCGTTGGGGTAATCTTCAATTGGTTTATATAGTTCTTGATAAAAACAACAATTATCCTTCTCAGTCTCTATAGTGACACTGGGCCTCATCTAAAAACCTTCTGAGTGAGACACAAAATTGGTTTAGTCTGCAAAAATATAATCCAGATCCCACCTCCTCCCAACTCATGACCCATTCTTGCCCCCCCCCCCAACTCATGACCCATTCTTGACCCCCCTGCCCTCCTCCCAACTCATGACCCATTCTTGAACCCCCCTCCCAACTCATGACACACCTCCCAACAGTTGGTCAACAACTATAGTAGAAAATGGACATTATCATACTATAGTAGCACCAACTTATTTCTCAATTTGTTCTAGCTGATTGCTCGATTCTCAATAGAAAAATAAAGTTTCGAGTGCACTATAGGGGAGCAGAAAGCCAGATATCCCCTTTTCTACTCCTATATCCCCAGGAAAAAATGTCTCCACCCATCCTATCTCTCTCTCTCTCCTTATATTTCATTTTAGGCTTAACCCTTTTCTGGCTCCTTCAGCTCATATTTAACATTTAACCACTTCACGGCTTCAGTGTCACAAAATTACATTTTTATATCTACCTTCATTGCCTATTTGATTTTAGTATTTGCCACTTTTTGTTATCTGCTTTTTTATGAGGAAACATTCAGCAATCATGGACCAAGTAGCCAGTGAGATGTTCAGTTGCAATTTAAAATTCTTCTCTTAAAAGAATTTTTCAGTGCAGAAATAGTCCGCTGTTATCACTATTTTCCGCTTTTTGATCGGGGTTTTCTTACCTTTTTGTTTGTAGTGTGGAACATCAATATCTTGATTATGTCTACAAGGTTTAAAAAAAAAAAAGGGTCCTTGGGAGTTCATTTGCCCAAAGCCATTTTTTTAACTATTGATCTGAGGAAGTGGTTGTATACATGTGACAGTTTAGATATTTCTGTACAGGCTTGAGTGCCATGCATAATATCCATGTGACATTTTTGTTCTAACCAGGCTATCTAAGGACGTGACAAAGATCTGAGTTCCAATTCCTGTTAGATTTGTTACATTTGCTTACATGCTAATACCCTTGGAGAAGGTATAAATCCACTTCTCCCCAGCTATGGGTTAATTAGTAAGACTTGTATGACTAAAACATTATTTAAAAAAAAAGAAAAAAAACTCTTAGCCTAAAAAATATTTTCTGGCTTTAAATAACCTGCAAAGAGTTGATAAACCTTAGAAAACTGATCAGTCAATTGGTAAGAACGTAACTCGGGTTTTTAGTTTAATGTTTTGATTTTGTAGTAGTTTGTGGTGTTTGGCGAAACTAGCACAATGCAATCAGTTTTTTTATTTCTTATACTAAATTACAGAATTTTTATCAAATCGGATATTTGATCAAATTTTGGGAAAACTGTTTAGCACCCTCTTTGTATTAGATAATGAATTGTTTATTTTGGGGGTTGCTAAAAGTGAAATTGGTGAAATCTTGGATATGGAAATTGTGCAAAATGCATTTTTTTTTTTTTTTTTATTTTATTTTATTTATTTTATTTTAAAATGGTTTTTATTTTATTTATTTTATTTTATTTATTTTACTTTTTTTTCTCTCTAAGTTTTTTTTCTCTCTCTTCCCCCCTTTTTTTCTCTTTTCCCCCCTTTTTCTCTTTCTTCCTTGCTTTTTTTCTCTCTTCCCCCCCCTTTTTTTTCTCTCTTTTGTGCTTTTTTTTCTCTCCCCCCCTTTCTCTTTCCCCCTTTTTTTCTCTCTCTTGTGTCCTTTTTCTCTCTCTTTTCCTCTCCCCTTTTTTCTCTCTCTTCCCCCCCCCTTTTTTTTCTCTCTCTTCCCCCTTTTTTTTTCTCTCTCTTCCCCTCCCCCTTTTTTCTCTCTCTCTTCCCCTCCCCCCTTTTTTTCTCTCTCTTCCCTCCCCCCTTTTTCTCTCTCTCCCCTCCCCTTTTTTTCTCTCTTCCCCCTCCCCCGCTTTTTTTTCTCTCTCTTCCCTCCCCCTTTTTTTCTCTCTCTTCCCTCCCCCTTTTTCTCTCTCTTTTTTTTTTTTTCTCTCTTCCCTCCCCCTTTTTCTCTCTCTTCCCCCCCCCCTTTTTTCTCTCTCTTCCCCTCCTTTTTTTCTCTCTCTCCCCCCTTTTTTTTTCTCTCTTCCCTCCCCGATTTTTTTTTCTCTCTTCCCCCCCCTTTTTTTCTCTTCCACCCCCCTTTTTTTTTTTCTTCCCCTGCTTTTTTCTCTCTCTTCCCCCATGATTTTTTTTCTCTCTCTTCCCCTCCCCCGCTTTTTTCTTTCTTTAATACATGTTTACCTAGATTCACATTGTTTACATTCAGACTAATATCTTCATCTTTGTTATTATAACAGTATTTAAACTGTTGTGCTCTCTAACCCCCCCTCCTTTGTTTAATCTGTCTTATGCTAATATTACATTGAAACACTTGTTCCTGTACTATTACTGAAGTGAAGCAACATAGTCTGGTCAGTACCAGGAATGTTTGTGGGACAGAGATTTGCCTACATCATCATCATCATCATCATCATTATTATTATTATTATTATTATTAATAATAATAACCTGGAAGAGCTCATTTTAGTTAATAGGTGGTTCAGCTTGTTATAAGAGTATTACACATACTTTTGTTAACTTGAGTTTCAGTCCTAGTTACATTCATTATTCAACAATGTGCCTAAAGAAAAGCAGAGGGTACAGTAGCCAAAACCTGATGATAATAAGATGAAGACATTAGACCAAATATAAAAAGATAACTCCTCATCCTAGAAATTCAGAAAGAAATATGTTTACACCTTTTTTTTTTTTTTATAACAATATTCAGAGTTATGTAATTTTCATTATATTTTTTTCTATACATTATGCAGACTTTTTCTTTGTACAGTTAACTCTTGTCTGTAAGAAAGAACTCTGCTTTTTAGATGATTAACAGTACCTCCAAAGAAAAAGAAATGTATTAACATACTGATCATTTCTATTTACTAATTAGGTATTCTGTTAATGAGTTACTTGTGAGTAAGGCCCTCTTTTTGCAATGACAGTACCTCTCATTATCTGATATAGGGGAAATAAGGAGTTGTGATTGGGAATATAGACAACTTTTGTGCCTGAAAAGAAATGGTGTGTTAAAGAGACATTTTTTTTTTTTTTCCCTTGACAGGCACAAAGGTTAAACATTGCCACCCCCCCTTATTTCTTATATTGTTAAATAAGGATTGTTTTTTTTTTTTTCTCTTTCTATTGTGATTTGTATATCTTGGAAAAGGCGTGTCTTAATCCTTATTTTCATTTTTTTCTTCTCTCCCTTACCTTTTGTCAGATGTTACTCAGTGGTGGTGTTGATTCAACTGTTTGTGCGGCTTTGTTGAACAAAGCGTTAAAAGAGGACCAGGTTGTTGCCATTCACATAGACAACGGATTCATGAGAAAAAACGAGAGCACAAAAGTTGAGGAATCACTTTCGAGGATTGGGGTAAAGGTCAAAGGTAAAGTTGTGCTGAATTTGTTGCCTTTTTTTTCTGTATTGTCACTTTTTTCAATTAAAGGGACGCTACTGTCAAACTTTCAGTAGCTCATGTTACAGAATTTTGGATTCCCAAGTTTTTTTTTTTTTTTTTTTTTTATAACTTGGAAATAAATTTGGGAATAACTGAAATTAATTGCAAAATCTAGCAAAAGTCACCCATGAAATAAAAATAATTATTTGTATGGAAAGTAAAGACCTACGTCAAATTGTCTTTAAATTAAGTGGCAGCAGAATTATTGTTGAACTTTTAAAAGGTAGGCTTAAATATTAATGCAATACTTAAATGCAGCGATCAATTTTGAGTTCTTCTATAGTTTATTGTTGCCTATTACATACGGCAACAGTATGCTTCGCAAAAAGAAATTTCCGCCAACAGAGGACCAGATTGCAATCAAAACAGCCAAGGCTGCAGCGAGGAAAAGAAAGTCCTTTGCAAATAAGAATCCATATCAAATGGCAGCCAGGAGAGCTTCCAATGCTGAGAATATGCAAAGACTTAGGGACTCTAAAACTCCTTAGCAAGCCAGATGCCTGATGAAGAGCCCTCTGCAGGAGCTAGCTTAAATGCTGCCCAATAAGCTTGTGTGTGTGTCCTCATATAAGAGGTTATATATATATATATATATATATATATATATATATATATATATATATATATGTGTGAACAAAGTCAACACTTAGAGTTGACAGGTTGTTCATGTTAGACGCAATCATCAGGTGGTCTGACGATTGTGTCTAGCATGAAACAGCATGTCGCCTCTAAGTGTTGCCTTCAATGTTCACTTTTGTATTTACACACACTCAATCTCTGATATTGAGCACTTTATCCCATAAATATAGCACACCTTAAGAGTATATTTCTTTTTATTATATATATATATAAATTTTGGTTACGTCTATTTTAATATAATTTTTTTTTTTTTTTTTTTATATACTTTAATCTCTGTTTATTTAAATATAAAAAATTTATCTGCCATTTATTTTAAGGAGTGATTTTAAAAACAGTGGCAGCTTCTGGCGTCTCTTGCATAGCAAAAATGTTAAAATTTCCCTTCCACTTTGCCTTGCGACAATAGCTTGGTGGTAGAATCTCTGACTGATGCCAAATTGGTCAGATCTCAATCCCGGCTTGAAGCAGTCAGATGTCTAGCCACATTGATGAGCTATTATACAGTGAAACAGTCTGTCTGTGGATGACTATTTGCTGTAAAAAAACAAAAATACATATGCTCTGTTATAATAAATACATAGAGCTCTCTATGGGTTCATTTTAATAATTAATAGTACTAGGATCCACCTGGATTATATGCCAACAGATCGATTCCCTGTACTTAAAATGACACTTGCATATTTGCCTTTGTCAGTGGTTCGAGCTGCACACACATTCTACAACTCTACTACATCCATTCCAATTGACCGGACTGATCCAAATTCTCGAAAGAAGAAGACAAACATGTTAAATACAACAACCAATCCGGAAGAAAAGAGGAAAATTATTGGAGACACATTTATGAAGGTAGGTTCTTTATTTAGTCAATAGTTTTATTTTTTTTTGTTTTTTTTTTTTTAATATTTTCTTTATTTTAGGTTTTTATTTTATTTTTTATTTTTTTATTTATAGGTTGTTTTTTTTTTAGTTTATAGGTTGTTTTTTTTTTAGTTTATAGGTTGTTTTTTTTTAGTTTATAGGTTGTTTTTTTTTTTTTTATAGGTTGTTTTTTTTTTAGTTTTTTTTTTTTTTAGTTTATAGGTTGTTTTTTTTTTAGTTTATAGGTTGTTTTTTTTTTTTTTTAGTTTATAGGTTTTTTTTTTTAGTTTTAGTTTATAGTTTTTTTTTTTTTTTTTAGTTTATAGGTTGTTTTTTTTTAGTTTATAGGTTGTTTTTTTTTTTAGTTTATAGGTTGTTTTTTTTAGTTTTAGGTTTTTTTTTTTTTATAGGTTTGCTTTTGTTTGTTTTTTAGTTTATTTTTTTGTTTTTTTAGTTTTATCAATTTATAGGTTTTTTTTTTTAGTTTATAGGTTTGTTTTTTTTTTTTAGTTTATAGGTTTTTTTTTTTTTTTTAGTTTATAGGTTTTTTTTTTTTTTTTTAGTTTATAGGTTTGTTTTTTTTTTTTTTTAGTTTATAGGTTTTTTTTTTTTTTTAGTTTATAGGTTGTTTTTTTTTTAGTTTATAGGTTTTTTTTTTTGTATTTTTTTAGTTTTTAGGTTTTGTTTTTTTTTGTATTTTTTTAGTTTTTTAGTTTATAGGTTTTTTTTTTTTTTTTTTTTTTTTTAGTTTTAGTTTTTAGTTTATAGGTTTGTTTTTTTTTTTTTTTAGTTTGTAATCAATTCACCCCAAGCAAGGTGATAACACTAAGTCACAAGGAGCTACTGGGAGTAAAAAAGAAAGAAAAGTGTTTAGAAGGAACTGGAAACCCACTCCTAAACAGGAAACCAGGAATATACACTCTACTCGTGTTCAAAAGGCCAAGGAGGAGAGAACTGGATGATAGTTATTCTTACTGACTCCTATTTGAGGAAAAATAAATATTAGATAAAATTTCAGCATTTAGGCAGAGATGTTAGAAGTATAGAGTTGAGGTTGACTTTAGAATAGCATAAGAACAGAGACCAGAAACCTAATTCTAAATTGCAAACAGGGCATAAATCTACTCTATTTACATTATTCGGACTATTGTCCTCATCTTTGTCGCCATATTTATCACAATGTTTCGGTTGTTGTACGCTCCAGCCTTCTCCAGGTGGTTGGAATGTTGAACTGAACCCTTTATTTCGCTCACTGGGGTAGACTGTTCTAGTTCTATGTGCCATGTCTAATGGATATCAGTTATCTCCTGTTAATTCCCCTCTCCAAATTCTCCACCGCCTTAACCAATAAATATGGCGACAAAGATGAGGACAGTAGTTTGAATAATATAAATAGTGTACATAATACCACATATCAGAAATATAGACAGATACTGAAGGCATAAACCTCTACTCCTGGACGATAGGCTTCAGATAAAGATTACGTATTCAGTATATTCAGATTGAGAGGGAATAATATTGTAGATGGGGTAGTTGCATATTCCGAAGTTTAAAAAAAAGTATGAGAAAATGTTGATTGTTATTGTCCTGGTGTCAGGTGAGGGTTTTTTGTTTTTTTTATTTTCACTATTGTCCTAGAACAAAAATAAAAATAAAAACTTTGTCACAAACGGAATTTAAACTACCCTGATATCAAAAATCTTTCTGTATTTTTTTTTTTTTCTTTTTATTAATAATTTTTATTAATATTATCAAAACATCCTTAAATGTTTTGGAAATAACTTAAGAGCTAAAATATTAGATCTTTAAAGATTATTTATATTTGGACTAATGTCCTCATCTTTGTTGCTTTTATCACAATGTTTTGGCCTTCCTTAGGTGTATGTCAATCTGGGTAAACCTACAGAGAATCCTCATTTAATCTACAGACTGATCTCAGTCCAATGCTTACATCTACGGATATCATTTAGTTTTATTTTATTTAGCACTGTTTAATTATTGCTCACTCGTTTCTACTGGGTACACACTGCCTGACCCAGGGATTGGACTCAAATTCACAAACCTCTTTTACCCACTAGGCTATTGTAGATTAATAAGTACAAAATTAAATTTTATTGGGATTTTTATAAAAGTCACAACTTTATTTCAATTTAAATATATTAGTTAAAACACTATAAATAATTCTATATAAATGTTCTTATTAATATCTTTATTATTAATGTTCAGAGTGTTATTAATTAATAATATCTTTATTATTAATTAATGTTCAAGTGTTATTAATTAATAATATCTTTATTATTAATTAATGTTCAGAGTGTTATTAATTAATAATATCTTTGTTATTAATTAATAATATCTTTTGTTATTAATTAATAATATCTTTGTTATTAATTAATAATATCTTTTGTTATTAATTAATAATATCTTTGTTATTAATTAATAATATCTTTGTTATTAATTAATAATATCTTTGTTATTAATTAATAATATCTTTGTTATTAATTAATAATATCTTTGTTATTAATTAATAATATCTTTGTTATTAATTAATAATATCTTTGTTATTAATTAATAATATCTTTGTTATTAATTTAATATCTTTGTTATTAATTAATAATATCTTTATTACATCATTTAATATCTTTGTTATTAATTAATAATCTTTGTTATTAATTAATGTTCAGAGTAAGTTTTATCATACTTTTAAGAATTGTCTTCCCTGCAATTGTTTCCTATATAAAGAATATTAGCATATTCTAACTAATTTTATAAAGTTTTTAGTTTTCATTAAAAAAAAAAAAATCATAATTACTTGTCTCATGTTGTGACTAAATGTTCAGTGTTTAAACATCCAACACAATCCCCACTCAAGGTATCCACCAGCCAGCCAATGATTACCCCCACATTGCCTTTCAATTCTTGTCAATGTGCACTGAAAGCTGGGAAAGGGCCCAGTGCATGTCCACAAGGCAACAAAGATAAAAGACAAATACCACATTTCTTATATATATATATATATATATATATATATATATATATAATGTTTTATTCAGAGCTTTGCCCATTTGGATGAGTGGGGAGGTAGGTGACCTTTTTTGACTACACTTATGTTGGTCTCCTAGATCTACCCCCTCCCCATCTACACATCCTGATGTGTGATTGACAATACAAATGGTTGTTATTAGAATTACACAACGGACAATTCTGTCTCCTGCCAAGGACAGACCAGAACTGATTCTCCAATCCCAAGCATAACTGTTAATATAGACCAGCCTATGGAAATGATCTGGTTTTTTGTTGCTTGATCTCCAAAAACCCCTAATGAACTCATTTACTACTCTGTTCTCTTTCGGTCAAAGTGGATGCCACTTAAAAGATCAGACATCAAAAAGAACCATCTGCTTTCTATCAAACAGAAACACTTGAGATTGAGATAAAGCCACATCTTCCTTTTCTTTGTGGTTGTTTATCACATCACATTATATGTTTATTACTTTTTAAATAAAAATTTCTTAATGTTTCATTCAAGTCTTTTAACCAAAAATTAACAGAAAGAATATAATTTTCTTGCTTTGTTTATTAAAGTAAAATTAGTTTTTATAATTAGATCCTAATGTTTACATTTTGAGAAAAATAGGACAAATTTTATTCAGCTTCCATTCACCAGGTTAAACAGAAATGCTTAAATTTTTATTTATTTATGCATTTTTTATTTTATTTTTAATTTTTTTTTTTGCTTGTGCATGTTTCATTTATTAAAATAATAATAGCCTGCCACTATTGGTGAGAAATAATATATATATATATATATATATATTTATAATTTGTTTAAACGTTATTTTTCTAACAAAATTTCTCAAATATTTGGGATGATAGATGTAAATAAATATACTGTTTAATAATGAAAAACAAACTATTTATTCAAATATGTGTATCCATTAAAAATGACGTTTGAACAAATAAATTGAAAATATAACGCACACATGGCAATAATTTTTTTTATATTAAAGTTTTTATTAAAAATCACTGAATTTTGTTTTGATAATGTAAGAATTGTAACAAATAAGAGAAAAAAAATTTTTTTAAATACCCATCATAACAAAATTTAATAAAACATGAAGCGCTGGAAAGTTCTCAGCTTGATCCACCTCACAAACTATGTGCAAACTTTTTGTAATCTTTTAATGCCTGGGCTGATTGCAAAAAGGTGACGGAAATCTCTATAAATTGATGTCATGAATTGGATTTTAACATGCTGTCTTAGCACATCTTGTATTATCGTCTTTTCCCATGTATGTTTTTTGATCCAATTAATATTTGTCGCATATCAAAATAACTTTTGTCTTCAGATATGTTCCACTACTGAAACAATGGGCACTAAAAATTAAAGGCTTCTTTGTCATTATTTTTTTTTTTTTTATTTGACTTATTTATTATTACTAGTGTACCTGGGCCATCAATAATGATGGCTTATATTTTTATTATAAGCTAATTTTATTATTATTAAAATGACTAAGGGAAGTAATTTTATAACTTAACAACAGATGGGACAGGAAATATATAAAATACACATTGATAATTATTATATGGTTTGATTGATGATTTTTTTTTTTTTTTCCAGGTTGCAAATGATGTGATAGAAGAACTCAATTTAAAACCACAAGAGGTCTACTTAGGCCAAGGTAATTTACATATATTCTTTTTTTTTTTCTTTTTTTACCTTTCATCAGCATGGCTGATGCTAACCTCCAAGAAAGTGACTCAGCTGACATGAAGTGGAAAGAGTGTATTGAGTCAATTGCTCAGTTTGCAGGTAATAAAGTGGGTTCACTATATCATGTTAGGCAATTTTTCTTACATGACTGCTTTGAATGCAGCCTGTGTAAGACGATAAACTACATCCAACGGCAAGGCCTCTGATCAGAAGGTTTTGATGTGCGTGAAACCGCCTCTTAATTGCTGGTGTTCCCAGGTCCACCTTGACCCAAGATGGTAGCTAGCACCTGTTAGGGTCCCAGCTAGGGGCAAATAGTTAACCCCACCTTTACTCTGGGCATAGAATTCAACTGCATTTCTAATAGTTCCATCAGCAGGCTTTTTGTCTTGGCAACATCAAAGGTTTATGGCGCCGAGAATAATGCAAACTGATGTTCAAAAGATGAGAAAACACTAAATCTTTTCTGAAATTCCTTTGACAACAATTCCAGGTGACTGTCACATTTAGCAAAGCTAAATACAGTTTTGGTATTGGCAGTGTTTTTCAGCTCTTTGCATGTAGAAAAAATGAACTAACTTTTCATTTGACAACTGTGACTTCCATAAACTTATCTTTGTAATGAAGCACATGATATCGTCATGCGACTGAGTGATAAGTTTGTTTTTACCTTGTACTTTCAAATTAACATCAGCTAATTGTGCAGTAATATCCACAGCAAAGGCCAGATCTTGGAGCTAACTTTCATCTTTTATTTCATCTGTGTTTTAATCTTTCATCTCCAAAAACGTAATTATTCCTTGTCTCAACAAATGGAATCTTTTCAGCACTTTGTGATATAACAAGTAGCAGACTTCTGTGTAGAATGGAACATTCGGGAACTAATTATCCATATATTCTAACTACTGGCTGAACTGATGGTGGTTGGGAGCACAGCCTCAAATATAGTTCACTGTCTTTGTGACAAAGCTAAGCACTTGATCCAGTTTTAAAATTTTTAAACACAAATTTTGCCAATGTATAATACAGTGAAAATGTGCATATATTAAAAATGGATGTGAGTTTTCTAGTTTTCTTTGTAACATGGCAACAACAACATTGTTTGTCAGCCATATTCGCAGCACCATCATTAGATAAGCGTGAAAGTCTACTCAAATCAAAATTATACTCATTCAAAACCTGCTCAACTCTGTCAAAGATTAAAGAAACCATATGAAGTTTAGAATGGCTGATGATCAAACATAATA